TATAAATACCCTAACATTAACCATTTTCAGACCCCCTCATAATAATTCTGCGTGATATCTCTCTTTATTTTATCCATCTTACTATTTCACAAAAAGTTGAATAAAACTGTCTTGAGATCTTGTAAAAACTTTTCATCAGGGTTAGGTAAGAAAATAAATAAATGGTTAAATTGTGAAAGAAGAAGAGATTTTATCAAGACTATTTTACCAATTGGTGTAAGTGCTCATCTACTCCAAGTTTTAACAAGCATTTTAAGTTTAATTAGCTTTTTATCAAAATTTAATTTTGGGATCTCATGTAAATTAACACTAAAATCTATTCCAAGCAGTTTAAATTTATTTTTTCCCCATTGTAAGCCTAATTCAGGTAAAAATGTATCTTCACTGTAACTTTTGCTCCCTATCCAAATAACTTGAGTTTTATCAACATTGAGATTTAAACCAGATATCTTCGCAAAATATTTCAATTCGACAATAGATTCTTTTAAAGACATTTCAGAACCATCTAGAATAAGTGAAGTGTCATCTGCATACTGAGAAAGGAGAATTGGACAGTTATTCACATTGATACCCTTAATCTTATTGTTATTTCTAAGTCTAATTCCTAGTATTTCAATACATAGTATGAAAAGGTATGGTGCAATTGGGTCGCCTTGACGACAGCCTCTTTTGATATTTACAAAAGAAGATAAGTTCCCCCCCTGATTTACAGTTGCAGTAATGTTAGTGTGAAACAATCTAACCCAATTTCGAATATCAGAACCAAAATTAAAATAATTCAAAACATTATCAATAAATTTCCATGATACTGAGTCAAACGCTTTCTCAAAATCTAACATTAATAACATACCTGGGATATATCTTTCGTCTGCATATTGCATAATATCATAAACAAGTCTAATATTTTCTCCAATATAGCGACCTGAAAGAAATCCTGTTTGATCCTCACAAATTAACTTATCTAAAACTGTTCTAATCCTACATGCTATGCATCCTGAGGCTATCTTATAAACTATATTTAATAATGTTATAGGTCGCCAATTTTTTAAAAACTGTCTGGGCTTATCACCCTTGGGAATACAAGTAATGACACCTTGTCTTTGTGTTATCGATAACAAACCTTTACTATATCCATAATTAATAGATCTGACAATAAAAATTCCTAGCTGTTTCCAAAAACATTTAAAAAATTCAACAGTAAAACCATCTGTACCTGGACTTTTGTTATTCTTCATGTTTTTCAAATTTTTTGTTGCTTCCTCTATCGTAATTAGCCCTTCTAAATTTTCAGCCTCATTATTTTTTAATGTTGGAACATCCCAGCCATCCTAAAGTTCAATCAAATCAACATCATCTGTCTCATATCTGTCATCATATAGTTTTTCATAAAAAGAACATACCTCCTCAAGAATATCTTCCTGCTGTGATATTATGACATTTTCTTTCTCTATCTTTAGTATTATTTTAGAGATAAAATTCCTATTTTCTAAATTTAAAAAAATATTTAGTTGGTTTTTCCCCCTCTTCATGCCATTGTGCCCTAGATCTTATAACATTGCCTTTAATCTTGTTAACTCTAATATTTTCTAATTCTTTTTTCTTGCGTTCTAATTCTTCAATATCAACCTGCTCTTGGTCCTCCAAGTTTTGTATCTCATTTCTAATAATGTTTTCATTTCTATTTTGCTGTTTCTTTTTAAAGGATGAGTAGGATATGCTCTTTCCCCTAAGTTCCATTAACAATGTTTCAAAAAAAAGTTGATCATCAATTGAAAATTGAACTCAGTATCTGGAATATTGATTATATTATCCTTATTGTAAACAGGTAGACAATACTGCATTTTTGTCTGTAGAATAACATTTTTAACCAAATCAAGATACACCTCGTCATACAGCAAAGAGGAATTAAATTTCCACAGACCCTTTCCTCGTTTAAATTCATTAAATTTCAAATTAAGTAAAGGAAATGAGTGATCTGACCTGTATCCTGGTTCAATAGTTGCACTAGTTACACTGGATAGTAAATTATCTGATATCAAAAAAAAGTCTAATCTAGCCTGTTTCAATGGGTTCTTCCTCCTCCACGTATATCTTCTATCTGAATGCAGTTCCCTATAAATATCGACTAAAGAGTGACTTTCAATAATTTCTAAAACTTTCTCCCTTGCTTTTTGATTATTTGTTGTCTTATAGCTACTATCATAGTCTAGGTCAGGACTTATAACTAGGTTAAAATCACCACATATAATGTATTTAGCATTGCCAAAATCCTCAATAGTATCAGCTACCATATCATAGAAGCTAGGCGAGTCAGTATTTGGACCATACACTGTAATTAATGTAATCTTAGCACCTTCCAGTGTAATATCAAGAGCCAAGAAATTTCCGAACAAATCTTTCTTTTCTTTATTAACTGTAATTTCAAAATTATTATTCAACAAAATTGCAACCCCTCTTGAATTAGATCTAAAGGAATTAAAGTAGCACTCAAACCCCCATTCATTTCTAATAATGTTTTGATTCTCTTCAGTAAAGTGTGTGTCTTGCAGGCAGTAAATACAACATTTCTTAGCTCTGAGATAAGAAATAACGTCTTTTCTTTTAATACTGTCCCCAAGACCCTGACAGTTCGCAGACAATATGGATACGCCCTCCATCATGTTACATCTTTAGCGTTCGGGAGTATAATATTTAGCCCAGTCATAGAGAGCAAAAGTAAAGAAGAAGAGAAAAGCAAAGATGAGAGATAAAAAACCATACCGAAAAAAGATCAAAAACAAGTACAACTGTCGACTTACGCACTCACACCTCTAGCAGTACCATGCCGGCGAACGGAATTGGAAGTACACCGGAAGTAGTATACTATAATATAAATAGAAAAACGACACAGCGTTACCATTTTCTGGATACGCTGTAAGTCGTTACAGAAATAATTTTATAAATATTTCCAAACACCAAAATTCTGCTAACTTCATTATTTTTTTCAAAAAGAGAGAAAATACCCTAAGTCGCGCAGATAAAAGAATTTCATTTCAATTCAATAACAATACAATTTTAAACGAAGGAAAAAAAGACTTACCGGTCTACATGTTTTTTTCCACTGTTTACCATCCACAATAAAAGAAAAGAAGAAAAAGAATAGCACTCTTAATGAACACACTAAAAAAACACAAAAGAAATTAACATAAAAGATTGATCGATAAACCAGATAAAGTCCCTCTCTGGTGGTACTGAGTCGTACCCAAGTCCACTATCGATCACATCACTCGATATCTACATATAAGCGTTCAATGTGTCCAGAAATATGAGACCTTTCAGTCGAAAAGTCCCGTCCTGAAGTTGTTATCCTCAGCCAGGTATTGGTCCGTTAACACTGTATCATAACGTGACACTGAGTACATTGAAACCACTGAGTAACCGGACACCACTGAGTACCTTGACACCACTAAGTACCTTGTCATCACTGAGTACATTTAAACCACTGAGTAACCTGACACCACTGAGTACCTTGTCACCACTGAGTACCCTGACACCACTTAGGACTTTATCACCACTGAGTACCTTGTCACCACTGCGAACTTTGTCACCACTAAGTACCTTGTCACCACTAAGTACCTTGTCAACACTGAGTACCTTATCACCACTGAGAACCTTGTCACCATTAAGTACCCTGTCTTCAGTGAGTACCCTGACACCACTAAGTACCTTGTCAACACTGAATACCTTATCACCACTGAGTACCTTGACACCACTGATTACCTTGTCAACATTGAGTACCTTGTCACCACTGAGTACCTTGTCACCACTGATAACCTTGACAACGCTGAGGACCTTGTCACCACTGGGTACCTTAACACCACTGAATACCTTGTCACCACTGAGTAACCTGAAACCACTGAGTACCTTGTCATCACTGAGTACATTGAAACCACTGAGTAACCTGACACCACTGAGTACCTTGTCACCACTGAGTACTTTATTATCGCTGAGAACATTGTCATCACTGAGAACCTTGTCATCACTGAGTACCTTGTCACCACTGATTAACCTGACACCACTGAGTACCTTGTCATCACTGAGTACATTGAAACCACTGAGTACCTTGACATCACTTAGGAATTTATCACCACTGAGAACCTTGCCACCACAGAGTACCTTGCCACCACAGAGTACATTGAAACCACTGAGTACCTTGTCACCACTGAGCACCTTATCACCACTGAGTACCTTGACATCACTGATTACCTTGTCAACATTGAGTACCTTGTCACCACTGAGTACCTTGTCACCACTGATAACCTTGACAACGCTGAGGACCTTGTCACCACTGGGTACCTTAACACCACTGAGTACCTTGTCACCACTGAGTAACCTGAAACCACTGAGTACCTTGTCATCACTGAGTACATTGAAACCACTGAGTAACCTGACACCACTGAGTACCTTATCACCACTGAGTACTTTATTATCGCTGAGAACCTTGTCATCACTGAGAACTGTCATCACTGAGTACCTTGTCACCACTGAGTAGCCTGACACCACTGAGTACCTTGTCATCACTGAGTACATTGAAAACACTGAGTACCTTGTCACCACTGAGCACCTTGAAACCACTGAGTACCTTGACATCACTGAGTACCCTGACACCAATTAGGACTTGATCACCACTGAGTACCCTGTCACCACTGAGAACTTTGTCACTACTAAGTACCTTGTCATCACTGAGTACCTTGAAACCACTGAGTACCTTGTCACCACTGAGTACCTTGTCACCAATGTGTACCTTGACATCAGTGTTTACATTGAAACCACTGAATACCTTGACATCACCGATTACCTTGTCACCAATAAGTACCTCGTCATCAATGTGTACCCTGACACCACTGAGAGCGTTGTCACCACTCAGTATCTTGTCACCAACTTAGTATCCGGACACAACTGAGTACCTTGACACCAGTGTGTACCTTGACACCATTGAGTACCTTGACACAACTGAGTACCTAGTCACCACTAAGTACCTTGACATCACTGAGTACCTTGACATCATTGAATACCTTGTCACCACTAAGTACCTTGTCAACACTGAGTACCTTATCATCACTGAGAACCTTGTCACCATTAAGTACCCTGTCTTCAGTGAGTACCCTGACACCACTAAGTACCTTGTCAACACTGAATACCTTATCACCACTGAGTACCTTGACACCACTGATTACCTTGTCAACATTGAGTACCTTGTCACCACTGAGTACCTTGTCACCACTGATAACCTTGACAACACTGAGTACATTGAAACCACTGAGTAACCTGACACCACTGAGTACCTTGACATCATTGAATACCTTGTCACCACTAAGTACATTGTCAACACTGAGTACCTTATCACCACTGAGAACCTTGTCACCACTGAGTACATTGAAACCACTGAATACCTTGACACAACTGCGTACCTTGACATCAGTGTGTACCTTGACGCAACTGATTACCTTGACATCACTGATTACCTTGTCACCACTAAGTACCTCATTATCACCACGTACCCTGACACCACTGAGTACCTTGACACCACTAAGTACCTTGTCACCACTGATTACCTTGTCACCCCTGATAGCCTTGTCACCACTGAGTACCTTGACACCTGTGTGTACCTTGTCACCACTGAGTACCTTGACACCATTGATACCTTGACATCAGTAAGTAACTTGACATCACTGAGTACCTTGATACCACTGAGTACATTGACACCAGTGTGTACCTTGCCACCACACAGTACCTTGACACCACTGAGAACTTTGTCACCACTAAGTACCTTGTCACCACTATGCACATTGACACCACTGAGTAACCTGACACCACTGAGTACCTTGTCACCAATGAGTACCTTGTCACAACTGAGAACTTTCTCACCACTAAGTACCTCGTCATCACTGAGTACCCTGACACCAGTGAGAGCCTTTTCACCACTCAGTATCTTGTCACCACTCACTACCTTGACACAACTGAGTAGCTTGACACAACTGAGTACCTAGTCACCACTAATTACCTTGTCATCACTGAGTACCTTGACATCACTGAGTACCTTGTCACCACTGAGAACCTTGTCACCACTGTTTTCCCTGACACCACCGAGTACCTTGAAACCACTAAATACCTTGTCACAACTGAGTACCTTGACACCACTGAGTACATTGAAACTACTGAGTACCTTGTCACCACTGAGTACATTGAAACCACTGAGTACCTTTTCACCACTGATTACCTTGTCACCACTAAGTACCTCATTATCACTGCGTACCCTGACACCACTGAGTACCTTAACATCACTGAGTACCTTGACACAACTAAGTACCTTGTCACCACTGATTACCTTGTCACCACTGATAGCCTTGTCACCACTGAGAACCTTGTCACCACAGAGTACCTTGACACCAGTGGGTACCTTGTCACCACTGAGTACCTTGACACCACTGAGTACCTTGACATCAGTAAGTAACTTGACATCGCTGAGTACCTTGATACCACTCTGTACGTTGACACCAGTGTGTACATTGCCACCACACAGTACCTTGACACCACTGAGAGCTTTGTCATCACTGAGTACATTGAAATCACTGAGTAACCTGACACCACTGAGTACCTTGCCACCACACAGTACCTTGTCACCACTGAGAACTTTCTCACCACTAAGTACCTCGTCATCACTGAGTACCCTGACAAAACTGAGAGCCTTTTCACCACTCAGTATCTTGTCACCAACTTATTAACCGGACACAACTGAGTACCTTGACACCAGTGTGTACCTTGACACCACTGAGTACCTTGACACCACTGAGTACCTTGACATCAGTAAGTAACTTGACATCGCTGAGTACCTTGATACCACTCTGTTCGTTGACACCAGTGTGTACCTTGCCACCACACAGTACCTTGTCACCACTGAGAACTTTCTCACCACTAAGTACCTCATCATCACTGAGTACCCTGACAAAACTGAGAGCCTTTTCACCACTCAGTATCTTGTCACCAACTTATTAACCGGACACAACTGAGTACCTTGACACCAGTGTGTACCTTGACACCACTGAGTACCTTGACACCACTGAGTACCTTGACATCAGTAAGTAACTTGACATCGCTGAGTACCTTGATACCACTCTGTACGTTGACACCAGTGTGTACCTTGCCACCACACAGTACCTTGACACCACTGAGAGCTTTGTCATCACTGAGTACATTGAAACCACTGAGTAACCTGACACCACTGAGTACCTTGCCACCACACAGTACCTTGTCACCACTGAGAACTTTCTCACCACTAAGTACCTCATCATCACTGAGTACCCTGACAAAACTGAGAGCCTTTTCACCACTCAGTATCTTGTCACCAACTTATTAACCGGACACAACTGAGTACGTTGACACCAGTGTGTACCTTGCCACCACACAGTACATTGACACCACTGAGAACTTTGTCACCACTAAGTACCTTGTCACCACTGAGAACTTTCTCACCACTAAGTACCTCATCATCACTGAGTACCCTGACACCACTGAGTACCTTGTCACCACTGAGTACCTTGACACCACTGAGTACCTTGTCATCACTGATTACCTTGTCATCACTGAGTACCTTGTCATCACTGAGTACTATGTCATCACTGATTACCTTGTCATCACTGATTACCTTGTCACCACTGAGTACCTGGTCACAACTGAGTACCCTGTCACCACTGTGTACCTTGACATCACTGATTACCTTGTCACCACTGATTACCTTGTCACCTCTGAGTACCTTGTCACCACCGAGAGCGTTAATACCACTAAGTACCTTGTCATCACTGAGTACCTTGACACCACTGATTACCTTGTCACATTTGAGTACCTTGTCACCACTGTGTACCTTGTCACATTTGAGTACCTTGTCATCACTAAGAACACTGTCATCACTGAATACCTTGACATCACTGAGAACCTTGTCACCATTAAGTACCATGTCACCACTGATTACCTTGTCACCACTGAGAACCTTGTCACCACTGAGAGCCTTGTCATCACAGGGTACCTTGTCACCACTCAGTACCTTGACAAAACTGAGTACCAGGTCACCACTGATTACCTTGTCACCACTGATTACCTTGTCACCACTGATTACCCTGTCACCACTGAATACCTTGTCACCACTGAGAGCGTTAATAACACTAAGTACCTTGCCACAACTGAGTATATAGACCCCACTGAATACCTTGTCACAACTGAGTACCCTGACAGCACTGATTACCTTGTCACAACTGAGTACCACGTCATCACTGAGTAACTTGTCATAATTGATTACCTTGTCATCACTGTGTTCCCTGACACCACCGAGTACCTTGTCACCACTGAGTACCTTGTCATCACTGGTCACCTTATCACCACTGAGTACCTTGACATCACTGAGTACCTTGTTAAAACTGAGTACCTAGACACCACTGGTCACCTTGTCACAACTGAGTACCCTGACACCACTGATTACCTTGTCACAACTGAGTACCTTGTGACCACTGTGTACCTTATCACATCTGAATACCTAGACACCACTGAGTACCTTGTCACAACTGAGTACCTAGACATCACTGAGTACCTTGTCACAACTGAGTACCTTGACACCACTGATTACCTTGTCACACCTGAGTACCTTGTCACCACTGAGAGTCTTGATATCACTAAATACCTTGACATCAACGTGTACCTTAACACCACCGGTTACCTTGACATCAGAGAGTGCCTTGACATCACTGAGTACCATGTCATCACTGTGTTCCCTGACACCGCCGAGTACCTTTTCACCACTGAGTACCTTGTCACCACTGAGTACTTTGTCACCACTGAGTACATTGAAACCACTGAGTACCTTGTCATCACTGAGTACCTTGTCATCACTGAGTATATTGAAACCACTGAGTTCCCTGACACCACTGAGTACATTGTCACCACTGAGTACCCTGACATCACTTAGGACCTTGTCATCACTGAGTATCAGGTCATCACTGGTCACCTTGTCACCACTGAGTACCATGTCATCACTGAGTACCTTGTCACCACTGAGTACCTTGTCACCACTGAGTACCTTGACACCACTGAGTACCTTGTCATCACTGATTACCTTGTCATCACTGAGTACCTTGTCATCACTGAGTACCATGTCATCACTGATTACCTTGTCCTCACTGATTACCTTGTCACCACTGAGTACCTGGTCACAACTGAGTACCCTGTCACCACTGTGTACCTTGACATCACTGATTACCTTGTCACCACTGATTACCTTGTCACCTCTGAGTACCTTGTCACCACCGAGAGCGTTAATACCACTAAGTACCTTTTCATCACTGAGTACCTTGACACCACTGATTACCTTGTCACATTTGAGTACCTTGTCACCACTGTGTACCTTGTCACATTTGAGTACCTTGTCACCACTGTGTATCTTGTCACAACTGAGTACCTAGACACCACTGAGTACTTGGTCACAACTGAGTACCTTGTCACCACTGTGTACCTTGACATCACTGAGTACCTAGCCACGACTGAGCACCTTGTCACCACTGAGAGTCTTGACATCACTAAATACCTTGACATCACCGGGTACCTTAACACCACCGGTTACCTTCACATCACAGAGTGCCTTGACATCACTGAGTACCATGTCATCACTGTGTTCCCTGACACCACCGAGTACCTTTTCACCACTAAGTACATTGTCATCACTGAGTACCTTGACACCACTGGTTACCTTGACACCATTGAGAACCTTGTCAGCACTGAGTACCTTGAAACCACTGAGTACCTTGTCACCACTGATTACCTTGTCACCACTGAGTACCTTGTCACCACTGAGTGCGTTAATACCACTAAGTACCTTGTCATCTCTGAGTACCTTGACATCACTGAGTACCTTGATATCACTGAGTACCTTGACATCACTGAGTACCATGTCATCATTGTGTTCCCTGACACCACCGAGTACCTTGTACCACTGATTACCTTGTCACAACTGAGGACCTTTTCAGCTCTGTGTACCTTTTCACCACTGAGTACCTTTTCACCACTTAGTACGTTGACACCACTGAGTACCTTGTCACAACTGAGTACCTTGACATCACTGAGTACTTTGACATCACCGATTACCTTATCATCATTGGTTACCTTGTCACCACTGATTACCTTGTCATGACTGAGTACCTGGTAACCACTGGGTACCTTGTCAGAACTGAGTACCTAGACACCACTGAGTACCTTGTCACAACTGAGTACCTTGACACCACTGATTACCTTGTCACCACTGAGAACCTTGACATCACTGAGAACCTTGACAACACTGAGTACCTTGAAAACACTGAGAACCTTGTCACCACTGAGTACCTTGACATCACTGAGAACCTTGTCACCACTAAGTACATTGTCATCACTGAGTACATTGTCATCACTGAGTACATTGAAACCACTCAGTACCTTGACAACACTGAGTACCTTGTCACCACTGAGAACCTTGTCATCACTAAATACCCTGTCATCACTGAGTACCTTGTCATCACTGAGTACCTTGTCATCACTAAGTACTCTGTCACAACTGTGTACCTTGACATCACTGAGAACCTTGACAACACTGAGTACCTTGAAAACACTGAGTACCTTGTCACCACTGAGTACCTTGACATCACTGAGAACCTTGTCACCACTAAGTACCTTGTCATCACTGAGTACCTTGTCATCACTGATTACCTTGTCACCACTGAGTACATTGAAACCACTGAGTACCTTGACAACACTGAGTAACTTGTCACCATTGATAACCTTGACACCGCTGATAACCTTGACACCGTTGAGAACCTTGTCATCATTGAGTACCTTGTCACCACTGAGTACACCGCTGATTACTTTGACCACCTAGACGTATTTTGAAACCATTGAGTTTTTTTACTCCGCTGTATGATAAGTGCGTTTGACAGCAATAGCAAGCACTATGACACAAATTAGAAGTATGTTTGACAGCCATAAGCACTGTGACACCGGTGAGTAGCATTCTGACACCGATGAGAATCACTCTGATACCGATTATAATCACTCTGATACCGATGAGAATCAACCCGACACCGATGAGAATCACTCTGATACCGATGAGAATCAACCCGACACCGATGAGAAGTACTTTGACACCGATGAGAATCACTCTGATACCGATTAGAATCAACCCGGCACCGATGAGAATCAACCCGACACCGATGAGAAGTACTTTGACAGCAGTGAGAAATCACTTGTAACCATGTAATAGTTAGACACAGGTGACTTACTATTATATATTAGTATGACACAGCTGATATATTGATCAATATAAGTAAAATATGTAACATAACTGGTGTAGAACGATGAGTACTAGAGTACATATCATTACATATGTAGATCATGTCACGTGAATCACTTTGATCGTTCTTTTGTCCTCCTCTGACAAATTGTGTTTATACTGTGAAATACAGATGACATTTTGATTGTTTGACACAGCAAGTTTCCAAGGAAACGACAGAGCACAATCGCAGTACGATTTTAAGTCATGTCCATGAAATGCTAGTGTGAATGTTATTCCCCTATCCCATGACGTCAACAATAGTTGTGTACCTATGACACGAATTCCTGTGCAGAAGCCAAACCGTCCATCGGCTACTTTCCATAGTGTTTCTCCTTTAAAATTCAAACATCTTATATGAGGATCTGGATAGGTCTGATCTGATACGAACACCTTTTTCTCTGATGAAGACAGCGTGACGTAAGTGAACTTAGTTTGTGAGTAATATTCTTCCAACAACAGCATCCAGATTTTGCCATCTGTTTCAAAAATTTGAATCTCCGAACTAGAACAAACAGCCATATGTTTTTCATCATATGCAAGTGCCTTACAGGCGTTGTTGGTCTTTAATTTTTGACCAACTTCAATAGAACCATCTTGCATAACTGTGCATTTTCTTAGTTCCTTTGCGTCTGGGATCGATATCATCACGTGATCAAGGGTCGGCGAAATCGATGTAACGTCGTAAGGTGCAGGATGAACGTTGGTTTTGAACAGAAAATCGAAGGAAGGATTAAAAACAGAAATAGCTTCGTTTGTATGATCCACACAAAGCAAATTTCCTGATGGCAAAAATGTTATTCCTGTTATCCATGATGCTTTTCCTAAGTAAGGCAGTTTGAGTTCAGACTGATTTTTCCGGGAATTGTCGCTGATGGATTGATTAGAAACCGGTGTTCTATTCACTGAAGATTCTTCTATTTGCACAGATAAACCTTCCTTACTTGAGATCCCTGTTTCGTTGCTCTGAAATCGGAGTTTACCAAAGCCATCAAACATGGCAACAAAATGTTTCACTGATGGACTCACTGAGAAAACTATCTTTTCTTGCATATTTTGTTTCTTTGTGTCTAAAACTTTGAGTTGCAAAGACCTGTATTCGGCTTTAATATTTTCGATATACATGTCATCAACGTCCTGCTTGCTGTCAATCGTTTTCTGAATCCGTTGCAAGGTATGCCGGGAATGTTCAAGGTAAGATTCCAGCTTACGTTTGTCCTTCTCAATCTGTGCAACCCTTTTTGTTTTCATCTCTGCGAGCCTTGTAAGGATGTTTTCTTCTTGTTTGTTCATCAATTCAGTTATTCTCTTTCTAACTGATATGATTTCATCACGAATGTGTTGCTCTGAATGATCAAGACACTCTAGATAGCCGCGTCTGATACCTAATAAATGCTCGAATGAGTTACATTGTTCAAAAAGAAGGTCTGTATACTGTTGCAAAACTGCTTGCTTAGATTTTATTTTTTCAGATTTGTTTATTTTATCGCTTGCTTCGTCGCGTGTAATGACGTCAGAACAATGTCGATGTTGCAGGGAGCACATGGCGCAGATGAATTTGGAATGGCCGACACAGAAATAATCGAGTTCGTTTTCAGGATGATCTGTACAGGTTTTGGAAGAGGTTCTGGAGGTCTTGTAGGCATCGATCATAGCGCTAATCATGTGGTTATTTTCAAGTTGATCAACCCATTTTTCCGGATTGTTTTTAATGTGCGTTTGAGCGGAAACATGTCGACGGCATACAGGACACTTGTATCCTTTTCTTTCTGGACGTTGACGATTTTCCTGGGTTATATAATTTGTTATGCACTTTTTACAAAAGGTGTGCAAGCAGGGTAGTGCTTTGGGTTCTTGAAAAATTTCTAAACATATTGTACATGTTATTTGATCTTCCGCTGTCAAAATGATCGCCGCAGCCATAGTGCCTTGAAATCCTCTATCTGCAATATATGGAATACATTTATATCAGAAAGATATCTTGGCAAAATAATTTTTGCCACACAAAAGAAACGTGAAATAATGGTCAAGGTGTATCAAAACTTAGATAAGTGTAAGAAAATTTATATGTGTTTCAAAGTAGAAGTTTTTCACAATTTGAATGCATTTAACGTCTTTTAACCAAAATATCGCATCCCTCTATTTGATATTCAGGATCATTATGCCATCGGAAAATTGTCATGAAATTTACAGCCACGATCTTATCACCGAATCTTGGCAAATCAAAGCCGATGCATACTTCAGTGGAGCAGTGGGCAAACGACGAGGGAAACTGATGATATTTCAGAAGGAGAGAAAACAAGAACAAAACGATGTGTAAAAAAAAAAAAAAAAAAAATGAAATTCTGATATTTACTTACTCCTTAAGATATTGCAATATGGCAAACAAATTCATGGCGGTGTCATTGACATCGTATAATCGATATTAAGGGCATATCTTTAAAACTTTAAACGAATGTTCGATAATGATTTTCTAGTATTCGTTTTCAGAACAGTTAGATACTACTATTTGGAAGATCGTTATAATTCACCCCTACCAAGGGAATGCGCTTGAAACAACAAAGTTCGTACCTATAGTGATGTTGTGAACAGTGTACCAATGTGTCGGTAACTTTGACGATCATTTAATAAGGTCACCTATGCGGGAAAATTATATAAACATTAAGTATGAATAAAAATTTGCGGAAGCATTCTCCTGCAGACATTTTAAATGTAACGTTGACGACAAGAAGTTCGTTAGCAGTGATCACTTTGCTCACACTTAACGAAAGATTCGTTGCCGATTTCAACAGAAATACATGTTATATGTTCAATTATTTCTACATTACCTTTCGTTCAATTTGATTTCACGTTGTCCTGGGTACATGTGCCATGTGCCGCCATATACTAGAATTATGACTATGATGTTTTAACAATTTTTTTCCGAGTTTTAAAATATGAGAGAATACGTCATTGTCTTTCCATTCTACCATTTTTTCCGTATTTCCATATTTCTAAAATCGAGTAAATAAGCCGGACAAATAAGTCTAGAAGTTGATCTTATTGATTATTACTACACTTTACATTTACACAAGTTGTGTGCTGTGTTCATGATATCGAAAATATCGAGTTATTGAGGTACAATTTCAGATTTGTTCTGTATTGGTAAAACGCTACCTCTACAGCGTATGTAGTGAAAACAGCTGCCATTTGAACGTATGCCATATTCGAATACTGATTCAAAATCAAATAACGATTTCTTTCTATTTTTTTCTTATCGCAAATTTAAAATGTTAACTTGCATCAATCTAGATAACAATAAACTTCATCAACCTAAATTAATCGTCGCAGTACGCAGTAAGCTGTATGATGAATGTGATGAGTTCAACTTCCCTGTTGTGAATTTTCCATTTCTGGATAGCAATATCCTTGTTTCCCCAACCTATAATATTAACATGTCACAGTTGATTCGATATTCAAGGGCCTGTTCCCTTTATTACAATTTTCATGTAAGAAGCAGGTAACTAACTGAAAACTCTTAACACAAGGGTACAAAAGATGCAGGTTGATAAAACTTATGGGGAAGTTTTATGGTAGCCATAGTGACCTCTTTCTTTGTGTGACATGGAATTTTTTGATGCTGGTTAGTTTGTCTCTTGGTTCCGTTGTTGTATACCTTGTTCTCATTTGAAAACATGACATTAGTTACTTGGATTGACCTAGGTTAACATGACGGGTGCTGTCGATGAAGCAGAAGGTGCGTACTCTCCTAGAACACCTGGTCTTATTCTCCTTGTACGTTTTCTAGAGTCTCGGTGTAAATCATTCGTTTATTAATGCTTTGCGCTAGTTTTATGAAATGTTAGGTTGTATTACAATTATGTTGCCATGTAAGTATTGTCTTGATGTTTTTTTATTGATATTCTGTCTTTAGTGCATTGCATTATGATTAACAATACGAATGTTTATTACTGTGCTAACTTTTACTGACTAATGTGACCTACATAAACCTACTTACCGGCCACGTTGTGTTTTCTTTAACTCGAAATTTCGAGATAGTAACTCGAAATTGCGAGTTAGTAATCTGAAAGTTTGAGTTAGTAATCCGAAAATTTGAGATATTAACCCGAAATTTTGAGTAAGTAAGTCGAGTTGTTATCGCGAAATTTCTGGTTCGACTTACTAACTCAAAAGTTCGGATTAATAACTCGAAATTTCCAGTTGCTATCTCTAAATTTCGAGTTGCTATCTCAAAATTTTGGTTGCTATCTCCAACTACGTTTGCTGCTATCCGTTTGGAAGAAAATTTGATATCACGTCATTTTGAATTTGTTATCACCTACCGCGTGAAGGTAACCGAAAAAAAACTATGCAGTCACCTTACAAGTAAATAGATCGATGTGATGACGATCTGATCCCAGTGTTTAAATGATATGACTGGTCGTTCTACGGTAAAAGGGTCCCTCGAAATCTTTTACTAAGTGAAATTTCTTAAGCAATACCGCAAACTATTTAATGCAATGCAAGTTTATGCACATGTACTTTTAAACTAGATTTCTAACCATATAAAGTGCATATGACCTTAGCCTTCAGGAAATAATGAATTTATTGTTGAAGCTATGTCGTTTAATTATCATAAAGTACATTAGAGGTTCAGGGGTAAACTAATTCGTAGTCTGAGATCCATATGCACTGATTAATCAGAAGTAATAATAATAAAAACAAAAAACGTCCTCGTCTTTTTGTTCAAACAACTTGCCTTACAGTTCATGTTAATATGTCTTTTGATCAGATTTATCCATAACAGGCATTATCTTCAAAGATGATCTCGAGACAGCCTTATGCATAATATGTATTTGAAATACAAACACGCTATTGAAACCGCCGATAAGAACGAAGTGCTACCTGGGAGCTTACAAGTACATGATTCGCAGGTTTTTACCTTGTTATAAGTAATAAATAAACTTTATCTCTTTAATGAATATTCGTTCAAACATTGCTAATCGTTATCCTATGTTAATGTGTTATGTTAAGACTGACGAATACAAACGACAGGAGACATTCGGTGAGTATTCGACCCATTATACCTGGTCGTATTCTCATTGAACTTTTTTGTCTTTCTTTTATTCATTTTTTGCGCTTATTTTATGAAATTTGAGTTTAGATTTTTATAATGTTGTCATGTTGGTATTTTCTTGATATTTTTCAATATAAGATTGTGTTAACATGTCGGTATTTTAATTGTTAATTTGTTTGTATGCAACCAAAGGTAAAACATTATTTTTGATGTAATTAGATTAAATGTCATTATATTGAATCAGTCACGATTTTTCCACCTAAGTGATCATTTTGTAAGAGAATTTAACAAATCTCTAATGTACAATACCAAAATTGGAATAGCAATTATTGGAAATACGAAAATAATTGACATAATTGTGATATTCAAACGAATATAAATGCATATATATATATCAATTTATAGAAGTGGTTTTATTTTTCAAGACAACTAAACATAAACATTGCTAATATGTATGTCCCAGATACTATAAAGAACATTAGGTGGTATTGGGAGGGTCGGGGGGTGATGCGATCAGGAATTGTAAAGTGCCAATACAAGACTTGTCATCAAGGAGCTGAATCTTAAGTGTTATAATACATTTATATGCTGTATTTGGCAACGGTGACAAACGAGCACTTATTGGCCGAATTGATGATTGATTTAAATAAGATTTTTAGAATATGAACAAATTCATTTGAATAGGCAATGCTATATTTTGTTGAAAAACAAAAAAAAAAAAAAAAAAAAAAAGGCTGTCGTTGTATCAATATAAGTTTGGACAATATGTCTGCAGAACATGATTATTTGTGCGAACGTCTTGTCGTTCAAGTTAAAAGCCCAACGTCAGCGTTAGGTAAACCCAGGTTTCTGTACAATTATTTTAGTTTCGATACGTAGAATTTTCAGCAATTCTTACTGGAAAAGTTTCTAAATTCCATATATGTTCATTTATATAGGATACACAAAATCAATAACTGCAACGTTTCTATCAAATCACGACGGATCTGTGGATATTACACAAGCTTTAGAAAAAATACCAGTATGATAATTGTGGCTTTCGCATTTAATATAATGTGGTTAAGTCTGTCATATATTTTTCCAAGGTAAGTGAAAACCGAGTTTGGTATGTTAAAACGACGTTAAGTTCGCAGACGTTTACCCTATATCCATTTAATTAGCCTTAATTGCTGTACTTTTCACTTTTCGACAAATGGCGTATTTCGTCTTCATACCACTATTCTCCTTATAGAGCAGACAGCCTTGGGCACGGTAGATATATATCATATCATGCCTGGATTTAATTTACAATATGTTGACATAACATACTATTGTGTTCTGAAATAGCCAATAAAAAACCAACAGAACAAAATAAATATCTCAACACACTCATGTCTTTATGTTATATAATATGTTCAGTATAAGTTGCCTCCTTTTGAAGTGCAGCTGTTATATCGTTGATGCATGGATTTTTTAGATGAAATTTCATGAGAAGAAATGAAAATTTGTATCTTTGTTAGAATCCACTATATTTAGTAATATACGGCAAAGCAAATTAAGTAGGCACAATGGTTTGTTATCGGCAGACTCAACGTTATTGTAAACATCCTTAGTGAATAAACACATGTAATTATACGTTTCTGTAGTATCTCGCTGTGCTCTTTATCTACCTGTATGTTTTAGTCTAAGATCGGAGTATCGTAGGCACACCCGACAAGTCTGCTTCATATAACTTTCGGTTAAGTCTTGTTCCACCTTCGTCCATGTTTACGGCAGGTATGCTTATCGACTTTTCTATTCATAGATCCGATTATTGGTTTTCATATGTATTTTATTTTCACCAAAGGCGTGAATGATTGTTGTAAAATACCCAGGCTAATAAGACTACCTGACCGGGATTAAACGTCTGTTTCATGTGTCTATATTTAGAACATTATAATCATATAGGACTCTTTGGTTTTATCTGCATCATTCTCTTTACAGAAGGTCAAAAACAAGCGAGGTACAACATACCATCTTTTGGAAGATTATTGAAGGGTTATAAAAAAGGTGCCATTAACACTGTATATTAAGGGCATAATACAATTATCGTGTTATTTCTCTCAGACCCGTCAGTATGACCGCAAATCGTCCACATGAATCCATTATTTACACGGATGAATATCATTTTATATTTGTTTCCGAAGAAAAGTCATAAATTTGGTGACCCATTCTAAAATCAGTTTAATGATAAAATCACAAATTATAGTAAACCAAGGCCTAATAAAACACCTTTTTGTTTAACGCATTAATCTCATTCCGAAATGTCATTTTTGAAATATCTTTTAAGCATGACAAGTGCTTTGTAAAGAAGGGCCGCGACTCGTAAAAGCGGCAAATTAACAGAGAAACATAAATAAGTGGGTCGATTATCAAAACTAACCAGTATGATTTAGTATAATGGGCTTCGGCCTGTCATATATTTTTCCCAGGTAAGTGAAAACCGATTTAATTATGTTAGAATCGACGCTTATTTCGCTGACATTTGCCCTATATCCATTTAATTAACCTAAACTTTCTGCACTAAAATTCTCGTTTTCTCCTATGAAATCTAAATCATATGTCTATACAAAAGAAAATCCATCGGACTGTAAATTGTAGACTGTTTCTGTGTAGTTTCACATTATCGCACGAATGGTTGCTAGCTATCGAATGTGTACGTGTTGAAATTGAGTATTATAACATATCAATATCATTATAAACATTTATTGTACAATGGAAATATAGCTAAAGCTGCAGCCATTATGTATTACAGAATAGACGGAACATTTCTTTAACTAAACTACGTGAATGTATTGCTAACACAAACAACGAAGGAAAAAAGGTATTTGCAAACCGTTGGAAATATATGTATCCTTTAACAAGAACATTGTGTAAATAACTGTCACTTTCTACAAATGAATACAAGTGTGAAGCTCTGATCATTTTCGAGACGTTTATTCGGTTTAATAGCACTATTTTATCTATACAGCAGACAGACTTGGGTGCGTGGATGTTTGATCCATACAACTAATCGAATGACGAACAATTGACTTTTTCATGCTCCGTAATAGTAGTAAACATTTTACAGTGCAGTTGGCTATGAATATCTGACTGTAGGCAGGTAAGTCAACCTAAGAAAATCGCGTCCAACATGACATTTGTTGTCAATTCAATATGAAGACATAGACATAAATATTAAATTTCATCTAACTGATCAGCATACAATATAGAAATAATGTCCTATATTCATTAAAATCAAATCTATCTTGAAGTAAAATAGATAAAAGTGTACCTTACTTTGGTAATGCATATTAGGAAAGTAAATTGATCTATGCTTACGAATACAAAATAAAAGAGGATGCCGACTTTGATAAAACTAGGACAAAACATGAACAAAATAAATATTTATACTGTAAAAAATACAAGGAGTAAAAGTCTACAATATATTCATACTTTTTCAGAAGTCTGTTATCATATCACGTTAATGTTAAACATACTTTTAAAACTTACCTTTCTGCTATGATGTCAACGTTACTTGTGTCCTTATCCTGATTACACAGTAAAGTCATAGAGGAATAATAACATGCGCATTATTCCCTGAATACATGATCACGTGATACTCCAAACGCTGACTTAAGAATCGTATAGATGTTTCAGCCTCGTTTTAATTTACTATCTGT